TCATTCCCCAGCATATTCCAGCTTCTTTTAGGTGATGTTTAACTGGTGAGCCTCAGAGCTCTCACCTACCTAACAGGTACTGCCAGTAGTACCTGCAGATCTCCCGCAGGTTCTTGAAGATCAGCTGAAGCAGGTACAGGGAGAAGGACCAACCTCCAACCAGCAGAAAGTACACAGGACTTTTCTGGAAGAGAACAGCAAAGTTGGAGGGAGGCAGGAAGCAGGACAGCTGTGGACACCTCCCCCAGGTGCTGAGCTGCTCTGTGCCACACCCAGTCCACCCCAGTACCACACCAGTACTGGAAAAAGGGCTATGAGGCCTCTGACACCTCCCAAGGGGTGACACCCACCTTGGGCATGACCTTGGACATCATGTAGACGAGGACGAGCAGCGAGGCCAACAGCCCAACGCTGATGCCGGCCGAGTAGTAGAAAATTTGGCTCCTGCAATGATGACACAGGGAATCCATCACCCCAAAAGTTTTATGGATCACTGTGCACAAACATCACCCAGCACTGCCTCAACCCCTGGAAAAAGGAGGRGACTCACCTGCTCAGCGTGTCCCCACAGAAAAACAACAACAGGCCCAGGAAGAAGACAAGGAACAGCTTAGGGTCAAAGCCTGGAAAGAGAGTGAATCCCAGTGGTGAGGAGCACGGTGGGAAGCTCCCACCTGCCACAGGGTCACAGGGATGGGGCAGCATCCAGGTGAATCTGGATGACCCAATTCCAGACCCAATTCCCTTGCTGAGAAATGAACTTTGCTGAAACATGAGGTGAACCTGGATGACCCAATTCCAGACCCAATTCCCTTGCTGAGAAATGAACTTTGCTGCCTCATGAGCAGCCACATCCTGCTGTCCCCTGGGCATCCCCAGACCCCCTTTTCCCCACCRGGGAGGGGACGTACGTCGGAAGAGGACGACGGAGTAGTTGGTGGCRGGCTCCAGCAGCTCGACCTTGAGGCAGGTTTTGTTGCTGTAGAGATCCACGTCGATGCTGGTGTCGTTGAGCTTGCCCCGCAGGAAGGAGAACACCACGTTCCACACGCTGAACTTCTCCAGCTCCTCCTCGCTGTCCACCTGGGTGACGCGGATCATCCGGCTGCTGGTGAGGCGGATCTGCGGGGAGCGAGGGGGAAAATGGATGGAGAGAATGYAGCAGGGAGGGTCTGCTGCTTTCTCCTCCTCCTCCTCTTCCTCTTCCTCCTCCTCTCACCTGTGTCCTGGTCCAGATGTCGTGCCATTGCGGGACGCGGGTGTTGGTGTAGCAGAAGCGCTGGGATTTGTTGTGCACGGACACGTGGCCCTCCTGGAGCGGGATGATGGGATCCTTGGTGCCTGGGAAGCACAGAGAAAAAGGTTCAGGCCCTGTTCCCCTCTGCTTAACCCACCAAACACATTACTGCCCTTTCCCTCCCCGGGGGTCCTCCAGCTCACGATCCTTCCACTGTTTTCCTTGGAATACACTCTCTGGTTCTTTTTTGGCAAAATTAATAGGTTAATCCATTTTTTGGGATAACCCCTGAGCCCCTTCCAGCTCGACCCCTAGTTCCAAAATCATCCCCACCTCAGGGAAATAAATCCGAGGGTGGCTCCGGCACGCATTCGCCCCCTCGGGGTGAAGTGGCTCCCAAATTCCACGGAAGGCCCGATCGAACCGGGGGATCGGGACAGCGGGATACGAAATCCCGGTCCCACCGGGCCGTACCGACCTCCTGAGCCTGGGAGCCCCGGGAAGCGTTCAGAGGGTTCCCCGGAGCCGCAGAGAGTCTCTCAGCGGGCACCAGGCAGCTCGCCGCGGCCCAGGCCGCTGGTCCGGTCCTCCCGCCACGCTTCCCCGGGGCTGTCGCCGCCCCCCTCCTCGCCACGACGCCCCCCCGGTCCCCGCCCATCGACGCCGCCACCCAGCCCACCTGCAACTTCCAGGGGCAGGAAGGGCAGGAACAACAAGAGCAGCACCGGGAGCCGCTGCCGCCCCGGTGCCGGTTTCATCCCTCCCGCCGCGGCGGCGCCGGCCGCTTCCGTTTCCGCCGCACGCCTGACGGCGGCTGTCGAGGAGCAGCGACAGCCAATAGGAAAGGCGCTAGCCGGGCTTTGTTACTGATTGACAGCTGAGTGAACCTATCAGAAAGCAGCTAGGCTCTTGCTCCCGCCCCCTTCACTGCCTGCCGCGTTGATTGACGGTGTTTTCAGCCTATCAGCATTGCGCGAGCAGGAAGCAGCCATGCTCCCGCCCCYGGTTACCACGGTGACCAATAGACCCGCCTTTCACTCAACAACCACSCCCCGCCCTGGTAACGGCTTTGAYWGACACWCCCCTCAGCCTATCAGCGAGCAGGCACGGCCGGCCACGCCCACCACCCCCTCGCCAATCCGGCGTGATTGACAGCCGCCTCCGCCTATCAGGGCGCGGCCTGGCGCTGTTTGTGTGAGCGGGTCACGCGTGAGGGGGCGCGCAGGTCCCGCCCCYCGCACCCCCGTGAGGCGAAGCCGCGGCCTCACCGGCACCGGGCACCGCCGTGAGGGGGCTGCGCSACCGCACGGCCGCGGACGGGGCTCTGCCGGGGCGAACGCGGGCCGAGGGTCACTGGTGTAGTCGCCCGGCGCGGAGGGGAACCCGCATCCCACAGGCGATGGCCGGGGGGCTCCCGTTCGCCGCGCTGCCCGGCCGCACCGTCCGCGTCCCCTCTGAGTGAGGCTCCCCCAGCCCCGGGAAGGCGGTGCCGCCCTCCGCGTGGATCCCTCCCCGCGGGGCGGTGGCTGCCCGTGGGCGGGCAGCGGGGAGCGGGGCTCGGGCGGCCCCCCCGCTCCCCCTCCGCGGGCCGTGGGCGGCGGAGCCGGGAAGCGGCGGGGCCGTGGGCGGAGGATGTGCGTCAGCCGGGGGCAGCGCCGGGGCTGGGAACGGCCCCGCCGCGCCGGACGCCTGGTCGTGGATGGGGGGGGAGGTGGTGACAGGGGGGCCGTGGGGAGGGGGTTGAAGCGGGAGGGCTGGGGCAGGACCCCCTCGATGGGGACCGTGCCCGTGCGGGACCCCTGGTTGCTCCCCCGGCGGCTCCGGGGATGTGCCCCGGACACCGGCACGGCCCCCCCCCGGGCAGGATCGCGCGGGGGCGGCTTTGGCCACACGCCAGGCGCCGGCCGCGGTATAAATAGCGCCGAGCCACGCAGGGCCGGACCAGGGTGCGGGCCGTGACCTCCCCCTCCCGCTCCCTCCCGCGGGATGGACCCCGGTGCTGCGGGCGAGGGGCTCCAGCATCCCCCGGCCCACCCGAGACAGATCCCTCCGGTCCCCTTCTCGCTGCTCCGGGGCGCCCCGGTGCTCAYCCCGGGGTGATCGCAGCGTGTTTGTGCCGGTGACACCGAGTGCCAGCCCTTTTCACCGGCGTTCCGGCACCGGCGGGCGAACACGGGACAGCGATGCCTGTGCCCGGAGCATCCCCGCGCCCGCTCGGGTTGTCACCGAAACCGGGGATGCTGCGAGCGCTGCCCGCGGGAACGCCGGCATTCAGGGTGCCCACGCCAACACCGAGCACCGTGTCCCCTCCTGGGGGTTCTGCCTCTCCCGCCGAGCCCCCGTGCCACGCGTGTCCTCCCCGCTCCCTGCCGGGGCTGCGGGACCCCCGGTACGGCCGTGCGGGGCGCCGCTCCCGCTGCTCCGGTGCCGGGGGGAGAAGAAGGGGGGGGCCGGTTCCCGCCGCCCCCGCCGCTGTCCCCCCCGCGCTCGGCGGGGGCGGCAGCCGCGGGATCCGCCCCCGGGGCCTCCCACGCGCGGCGCAGCCGGGGCCGCTGCTATTTCACGGTCCCGCCCGTGTGGGCGGCGCGCAGAGCGGCGCGGCGCGGCGGAGGGAGCGCGCCCGGCCCGGCCGCGGGACCCCCGAGCCCCGGCACTCCCCGGACCCCCGGCTAGAGCCGGCCCCGGAGCCCCCCCGCCCCTCCCCGGCCGCCCGGCGGGGCGGGCGGAGCGGACGGAGGCGGTTCCAGGCGGCGGTGAGCAAGCGGGGGACGGCGGGAGGGGATGGGGCACCGGGGGGCGCCGGACAGGGCGGGGGTCCCGGGGGACGGTGGCCATGGTGGCGCTGGGGGGGATCGTAGGGGGACGGAGCTCCGAGGGACACCCGGTAGGGCGGGGAGCCCCGAGGGGTGTTGGCCGCGGGGCTCCGGGTGGGTCCGGGGCGCCGGGATGCGCGGGGAGAGGACGGTCCCGATGGGACCGGGGGGAGCGCGGCACCGGGGAGTACCGGGCCGGGGTAGGGGGTTCGCGGGAGGATGGCCTCGATGGGACCGTGGGGGCTCGGAGGGACCGTGGGGACCGCGGCGGGGAAGGGACACCGGGGGTCACCGGGCAGGGCGGAGAGCCTGGGGAGGGGATGACCCCGGTCCGAGCAGGATGGCGGGGGGATGGGGCACGGCGTGGGTTCGGGGCACCGGAGGGCACCGAGCAGGTGCGGGTGAACTGGGGGAGGACGGCCCTGGGGGCACCGGGGTGGGGATGGGGGCACCGAGCAGGGCGGGGTCACCAGGGAAGGATCGCCCTGATGGGACCCAGGGCATCACAGAGGAACGGGGCACGAGCAGGGCAGGGGGTGTRGGGGATGTTGGCCATAATGGGATCGGCACTGGCCCATCCTCCCCGGGGSTGGGGGGGCTGGGAAAGCCCCACGTGTGTCCTGCCCCATGCGAGGACCTGGGATMSGGGGGCTGCTGGCTGARSRGRGAGGGTGGGCTGGGCACAGCTCAGGGTAGGGGCTGGGATGAGGGGACCCCACTCGTGTCTGTGCTGTGTCCGGGGGCTGTGGCCACAGGGATAGTCCCAGCCTGGAGCACATGGGTGGGACCGGGCACCCCGTGGGGTTTAGGGACACTGGAACACCCTGACCCACCCTGACCCTGAAGTGCTCTCTGTGCCTTTTACCCCCGGGCRGAAGGGTGAGGAGGGGGTTTATGGGGAGGGGGTTTTTCCTGCATGTCTGTCCATCCCGGTGGTGAATCCRTCTGTCCTTCTGTCCACCGCAGGCTCGCCATGGCCCTGCCCCGCACGCTGGGGGAGCTGCAGCTGTACCGGGTGCTGCAACGCGCCAACCTGCTGGGCTACTACGAGACCTTCATCCAGCAAGGGGGAGACGACGTGCAGCAGCTCTGCGAGGCGGGCGAGGAGGAGTTCCTGGAGATCATGGCGCTGGTGGGCATGGCCACCAAGCCCCTCCACGTCCGCCGCCTCCAGAAGGCCCTGCGTGAGTGGGCCTCCAACCCGGGGCTCTTCAGCCAGCCCGTCTCGGCCGTGCCGGTCAGCAGCATCCCACTCTTCAAGCTCTCTGAGGCCGGYGGGCGCAAGGCGCTCAGTAACGGGCACGCCAGCCCCGGTGAAGCCGCGGGTAAAGGGGGTGGCAGTGCCGGGACACCCCCGGCCCGCAGCCCTACAGAGCCAGGGGAGAAGCTGTCACCGACGGCGGCCCCACCGTGGCCGGGAAGGAGCACCCCCGAGTCGGAGGGCGGCGGGGATGAGGAACCAGGGGGTCCCCCCTTCTCCCCGGGCGGGAGCGGCGGGGAGCAGGCGGCGGGCACGGAGCTGGAGCCGGAGCTGGCACGGACGGTGGCGGAGAGCGTGGAGCGGCTGCTGCAGAGCTGCCCCCGGGGTGGAGAGGCCGAGCTGCGGGCGCTGATGAAGCTCAACAAGAAGCTGGCTAAAGCCGTGGGACACATCTTCCAGCTGGAGGATGGCGACCGGCAGAAGGAGGAGGAGATCCGCCGGCACAGCGCGATTTACGGCCGCGGCGAGGCRCGGCGCCGCGAGGGCAAGCAGCTCACCCTGCACGAGGTGGGCTCTGTGTTTAAAGTTCCTGGGATGTGTGCTGGGTTGGGACAGGGACCGGGGCGGCTCTGGGGGTGTGGGTGGGTGGGATTCGAGGTTTCTCCCCACCCAGGTGGCATCTGCCATAGCCGAGGGTCGTGTGGGTGCTGCCGTCCCGTGGGTGCTGCTGTCCCCATCCCCACTCACATCTCACATCTCATCTCTGCCCCCAGCTCATCATCAACGAGGCGGCCGCCCAGTTCTGCCTGCGGGACAACTCGCTGCTGCTGCGGCGCGTTGAGCTCTTCTCACTGTCGCGACAGGTCGCACGGGAGAGCACCTACCTGTCCTCGCTCAAGGTGGCCAGGTGAGCCCAGAGCCTGGAAACCTCCCCCTCATAGGCCTGGTGGGGCCTGGCTGTCACCCCCCTGCACCCTGGGAGCTGTACCCTGATCCAGCGCCTCTGGATGGGGCCAGGACCCCGCAGCCCCCAGTCCCCCTTTGCCAGCGTGGGTGGTTTCTGCCTGACCTTGGAGCGTGGGAGGTGGGGAGGATGGGAATGACGGGGATGCCAGGCRTGGGGGGGATGCCAAGCAGCAAAGGGATGTCACTGGGGATACCCCATCTCTTGCCTCCCTCCCCAAAGCCCCCTGCCCACTGTGCCAGGGGCTGCCTTTTTGCTCTCGAGCTGCTTCTCTCCTTTCCACCCCCAATTCCCTCCGTGCCAGAACCCCAAGCTCCAGCATCACCCAACCCGGTGGCTGCCCCCACAGCCTTGTTATGGCCACCCCCACACCTGACACAGCCCCTTTCCACCCCCAGGGCCCATCCCGAGGACAGCGGCGCCGTCGTGGCCAAGCGGCTCAAGCAGGAGGTGGGTGCAGGTGCAGGGGCAGCGTGTGCAGGTGTGCACACCTGCAAGCGTGGGTGTGACAGCACAGCATGCCCAGGGCTGCCCGGGCCGGCTCGGGGTGGTGGCTGCTGGTGTCCTGGGGTGGGTGGCACAGGGGACCTGCTCACCTGCGTGCTCCCGGCAGGCAGGAGAGCAGAGCCGCCCGGAGCTCCTGGCACTGCCGGTGGGGCTGGAGCCCCCCGGGGCTGCRTACCGAGCCAGCCTGGAGGAGGACACGGGCAGCCTCTCCGGGGAGAGCCTCGACGGCCACTTGCAGGGTGAGTGGGGCTCCCTGCCCTTCCAGGCAGCCTGGCGGTGGCCGGCCCTTCCCTCTGACTTTGGCCCCCCTCTCTCGGCAGCGGCGGGGGCCTGTCCCCGGCTGACCCCTCCGCCCGGTGCGGCCCCGGACGTGCCCCTCGGCCTCGCCCCCCACGGGCTCTGGAGCCGCCACATCCTCCAGCAGACGCTGATGGACGAGGGGCTGCGCCTGGCCCGGCTGGTGTCACACGAACGTGTGGGGCGGCTCAGCCCCTGCCTGCCGGGGAAGCCCCCGGGACCAGGTGAGCCCCCGCGGGGCCGGGGGGGCTTTGCCGCGGGCCGGGCTTAGGGCGGCACCGCTGCCTGCTCCCGTGGAATTGTGTCCTGACGCCGCCGTCTCCGTGTTCTCCCCGCAGAGTTCGAGGACGGGCTGGCGGAACGGGGTCCTCCGGCCCCTCCCGAGCCCCCTCGGGGCACCATCAAGGTGGAGCAGGAGACCAGCCGGCAGTGAGGCCCCTGTAGCCCCCCCGCCACCATTAACGAAGCAATAACGTGCTGGGGGACGGGTGCTGGCGGCGCTCCGGGCCCGGGGAGCCCGGGGTGGGGCTCAACCACAGCCCCCCCGGTCCCCTCCCGTCCCGCACCGACGCTCTGGTTACCTCAGCCGCGGCGGGATGCGACTCCCCGCAGCAGCAATACCCTCATCCCGCCCGGCTCCGCGCCCCCGCCGCCCCCCAGGGCTGGGGAGCCCTCGATGGACTGGAGCCCCCCCCTGTACAGCCCCTCCCGCCCCGTGCTGACCGTCCCCCCGCCCCAGGCCCCGTCACCGCGCGGGGACGGACGCGTCGCACCGTGCGCTCCCACGTCAGCGCTGCCGCCCACGCCGGGCACACGGTCCCCCC